TATAGGTGAACGCACTCTCTAGGTGAGCCCACTTTGGAGGTGCGTGCACTCCAGAGGTGAGTGCACTGTAGAAGTGAGTGCACTCCAGACATGAGTGCACTCTGGAGGTGAGTGCACTCTAGAGGTGAGTGCACTTTGGATGTGTGTGCACTCTAGAAGTGAGCATGCATCACCCTCTCTTCTGTGAGGCATCACAGAGTGCATGCTGAAGGCTACATTCCATGCATCTTATATGTTCGATCTTCCCTTGATTCCTTTCTTGTGGCAAACAGGGAAGTATTTCTATCTCCCGCATGCGTCTGTCGCTACTGTAGCTGCCACCGCTCGTGCAGCCATGCAGGACTTCAGAAAGCCCTAGGGCCTTGCATTATGCAGGTCATGCTGTACATATTCCTAGTACAAGTGCAGATGCCCAATGCGTTTGTACATACCCCTAGGGTAGTGTGTTCTAAGACTACTACTGGCACTGTGGTTTGATTTGGTCTAAACATGAGCAGCAGTGTTTTTAGTACCGTAATGTTCAAATTATATTTTTATATAATTGTAGGCTTGGTAGTTATGCTACTAACTGCATCCTACTGTAGGGGGACAACCCCCTTCTTGTACTTCATTCTCTTCTAGTCTACCACTTCTTCTCTCTCGACACTCTCGTCCAGCTTCTAGCTAAACCCTTGGCCGCCATTTCATGGCGGCCTCCTCTGTTCTTCCTAGTTCAGACTTTAACATGGTATCGAGAGCGGGATGCCCTTCCTGGGCCTGCTCCCCTCCGTGCTTTCCGCTGCGTTCTCGTGCGTTCGTCGCTCCTGCCGTGCCGCCGTGGCGGCCATGTCGCATGGCGGCCATGTCGCATGGCTGCCACGTTGAGCAGCCGTGCTGGGCTTGCCGCCCTGACGTGGCGGCTCCGCCGTTCCACCTCCCCGTCGCGCCCCTCCTGGGCCCTGCCGTGCCTCCTACCCACGTCTCGCCCCTCCTGGGCCCTGCCGTGCCTCCTAGCCCAGTCGCGCCCCTCCTGGGCCCTGCCGTGCCTCCTAGCCCAGTCGCGCCCCTCCTGGGCCCCGTCCCGCCTGCTCCTCCCTCCAGTAAGCGCCGCGCCTATGGCGCCGCGCTGAAGTCCTGCAGCCCCACCACAGCAGCCCCACCACCTCTCCCTCCCCTGCATCTCCTCCTGCTCCTGCCGTAGCTGCTGTCTTCGGCTCGGTCGTCGCCAGCCCGTGCCACACCGCCGAGAGCCCTCAGCCGCCGCAGTCGCCGCCTGTCCTCATCGACACAGCCGCCTTGAGCACGAGCTCCGCCGCTGTCGTCATTGAGGCCGCCCAGATGCGGCCAGCTGCCTCTCGACCAGGGGTGTCATAGCCTAGCACGAGGGGTCGATACCCGGCTGCTCACGAGAATGAGGGTGTCCGGGGTTAGGGGGTGTGTGTGTGGGTTGTGTGGGTTTGCCACTACCAAGCCTAGGGGGTGTGTTCAAATTATATTTTTATATAATTGTAGGCTTGGTAGTTATGCTACTAACTGCATCCTACTGTAGGGGGGACAACCCCCTTCTTGTACTTCATTCTCTTCTAGTCTACCACTTCTTCTCTCTCGACACTCTCGTCCAGCTTCTAGCTAAACCCTTGGCCGCCATTTCATGGCGGCCTCCTCTGTTCTTCCTAGTTCAGACTTTAACACGTAATCCCCCGTGTATAACACCCGCCGAAATAGTCACTCCGTGGGTGGTTAATACGGGGGGGAGCTTATGATACGGTGCATTTTTTAGAGCACCCGTTTTTCTGGCATTGAATTTTACATAACACCCTCCTCGTTTTATTCGTTTTAAAACTGAATTTGTTCTTGTACCGTAATCCCCCGCATATAACACCCGCCGGAATAGTCACTCCATGGGTGGTTAATACGGGGGGGAGCTTATGATATGGTGCATTTTTTAGAGTACCCGCTTTTCAGGTGACGAATTTTACATAACACCACCCTCGTTTTATTCGTTTGAAAACTGAATTTGTTCTTGTATTACAAGGTCCGCTCAGTTGCAAAAAGCGAGCATAATGAAATCGTGCGTCAACAACCATTAGCACCGGAAAAACCGGGCAGAATTGAATTGTTGGGAATCGAATTGAGGGGAAGGAGGAATTGAATTGTGGGGGAAGGGGGAATCGAAAACGTGGGGGGAAGGGGGAATCAAAAATGTGGGGGGAAGGGGGATTCGAAACTTTCAGGGGGAGGGGGATTCGAAATTGTCGGTGAAGGGGGAATCGAAATTGTCGGTAAAGGGGGAAACGAAATTCTCGGGGGGACTGAAACCGTTGGGTCAGGGGGTTACGATATTGTGGGGGAGACAGAAAAATCAAATTGTTTTTCCTCGTTAGCAGCTGCTCCGCACCCTTATGGGCAAATAGGGCATGGAACACTCGAATTCATTTTGCATTTTACATAACACATGGGCGTTATATTTTTCCGGGCCATTGATAACACCCACTCATTTTTTTTAGTGAATTTTCATATCCACCATAGGGTGTTATATCCGGGGGATTACGGTATTACAAGGTCCGCTCAGCTGCAAAAAAACGAGCATGATGAAATCGTGCGTCAACCACCATTAGCACCGGAAAACCGGGCAGAATTGGAATGTTGGGAATCGAATTGAGGGGAAGGAGAAATCGAATTGTGGGGGAAGGGGGAATCGAAAATGTGGGGGGAAGGGGGAATCGAGAATGTGGGGGAAAGGGGGATTCAAGATTTTCAGGGGAAGGGGGATTCGATTGTCGGTGAAGGGGGAATCGAAATTGTCGGTGAAGGGGGAAACGAAATTGTCGGGGGGAACTGAAACCGTTGGGCCAGGGGGTTAGGGCGTGTCCAGCGCGTACGTTTTTTAGTACACGAATCACGGTTCAGTAGGATATATCGCGACGTTTTTCGCGCTTCACAACGTTGGACCTCTGCAAACCACATTGAACCGTATAAAGTGAATTGTAAACGAACGCGCTGGACACGCTCTTACGATATTGTGGGAAGACAGGAAAATCAAATTGTTTTTCCTCGTTACCAGCTGCTCCGCAACCTTATGGACAAAAAGGGCATGAAACACTCGAATTCATTTTGCATTTTACATAACACATGGGCGTTATGTTTTTCCGGGCCACTGTTAACACCCACTCATTTTTTTAGTGAATTTTCATATCCACCATAGGGTGTTATATACGGGGGATTACGGTATGAGCTCTCAGGGTAGCGAAGCAACACAGTACAAGGAACATATATGGTTGGAGTTGTACCTTCTTAAGAACACAAACCCATGTAGCCTACAACTTCTATATATAAGCTTATGTATAAGTTGACACACCCCCTAGGCTAGATAAAGGGCATTGCCTAGCAAGAGACACATAGCTCAGGGCGGCACTACTAGTCCAACCTCTGGACAGGGGTCCGAACGAAGACCAGTCAGCAAGAGTACAAACTAAACAAGAGTAACTCATGGCTGCCACTGAGACGAGCCACAAGGCTAGTCAAGATAATATAATGAGTAGTACACAATCAGGGTCCTAGCAAGTGAGGAGCTATTGCGACTAGACCAGGCCCTGAAAGGTCAATCTTAAAAAACACCCTGAAAATCAGTTTTTGGTAGCAATTTTCTTACTGGTTGGCCCTGGTTCTTTCGTTTTCAAGGCTGATTCATCAGGGTCAGTACAAGAGAACACGCTGAAAAAAAAGAAAGCAAAACTAGCATTAAAAGCCTGATGAATATGGGCCTGAACTAGACCAAGCTGTACGCGGTGCCGCTGATGATCTTTATGCGCAAGCGCTTTAGTAAAGATATACAGTGGCCTGGCAGCACCTTAGTTGTGGTGGCACCGGAGGCCAAATGTAATACACCTGCCTGGTGGCGCCGGTGCAGCTCGCGCAGGAGGAAGTACCGTAGCTGTATGTGCTTCGCTCTGCCCTCTAGTCGAGGCTCTTAACACAGGAGGATCATGGCCATGTTGTCAGCGTACAAGACCGGTGCAGAGCTAGGTCGCTTACGTAAGTCAGTGACCAAGAACGTCAGCCAGTGGAGCTCCTGTGCCACCATGGCACCAGCGTAAATCTTAGCCTCAGAGCTAGACTGGGCAACGGACAACGATGGGGTGGACCTCCACAAGATGGCGCCCGCACCAAGGCTAAACCAGTAGCCCTGGGAGGACCTGAGCATCTCAGCGTCCTCCGCCCATGAAGTGTCAGTGTGCCCTGTCAGAACCACTGGTCTGCGTCCTCCCAACACTAGCCTCATGCCCGATGTATTTGCTAGATATCGCAACACCCTCTTAGCAGCCGACCAATGCTCGAGCCGGTGTCTGCATGTCGTAACAAAGTGAGCGAGGATACTAAAAGGGTATGCGAGATTTGGACGAGTGCAAGTCATCAGGTACATGAGGCAGCCCACGGGTACTGACCACTAGGCTCGACCGGCTCATCGGGGGCTGAAGCCGAGAGCCTGTGATCCACTGGCACAGGGGTGGGCTGTGTAGAGGAGAACTGAAGGCCGAATCTCAGAAGGACCTGGCGCACCAAGTGTGATTGTGTAAGACTGATGGTGCGCGCTGCTCTGTCCCTGGAGATCTGCAGCCTAAGGTAGCGACGCAACTCTCCTAGGTCAGTGCAGGTGTGTCTCCTCAGCAGCCCACCCTTCACCGAGGCCAGTGGGTCTCTGTCTGCAGTAGCGAAGACCAGGTCGTCTAAGTAGACTAGGATGTAGAACGGAGTTTAGCCTTGTTAGGATTAAGGACGGAGTCTAGGTGAACTTAGGAGCTAGAATTACTCAAAATATAAATCCGAAATTCTGGACAGAAAAGTCGTCTTCACAAGAAACGACGTCGACAAACAACTAGCCGTTGGAATGTCGCGAAACTTGGATATGTTGTAGCTCTTAATCTCAGCTACCGTTCCCAATTTGAATCATGTTGATTGATAAAGTATTCGCGACGCTATGGCTTTCGACGCACTAGGGGGTAAGCTGTAGGAGGAGAACTTAACTCAATCTCAAAGGTTCAATCAAAGTTCAAGAATCTCACAAGGAATTAGAAGGAGCAAGAGAAAGGTTGGGATAGGAAGAGAGGGATGAGAGGGAAGGTCCCAAGAGAGTCCCCAACCAAGGAAACCCCATAAGCACAAAGATTCCCTCCCTATAGGAACCCCAACTTTGACATTTGTCCCTTCCCAACCAATCCATCCAAGTTGGCCACCCTTGCCAACCTAGCTTGGTTGTTCCCAACCAATTTGCAGCTGTTACAGTGAGTGACAAATTTCCCAAACCCCCAAAGGTCCCAACTCCATATAGAGTCACCCCACAACTTCACTTTGTAACCGCCGCAATTGTAACGCAAGCTCATGAACTTTGAATCTTCATAGCTTTCGCGTTCTTGCTCCGATTGAAGGGATTCTCGTTGCGTCGGAAAGATCTTCTCAAGATCTATCATCACAAAAAACCTGCTCAAACAAAATAACACAAAACACATTCCCAAACTCCAGAACACATCACACACAAATTCTTGCACACGTTCAAACCACACATGCAAGTTGAAAAAATATGGGATGGGAGGCAGACAGAATGTGATAGCATATGATGACATCACACAACAATCTCCCCCTCTGGCTGCCAACCATCATCCACCATACCAACATCTCAAGCATGCATACTCAATGCACACTCATCCCAGCAAGCTTCATGCCCTTCCAATGATCCGCCTCCGCCAGACGCTTGGTGAAAATATCTGCTGCCTGCTGATGGGTCTTCACTATCTCCAGCCGCACCTCCTTATCAAGGAGTCTCCTCACCCAATGCCACTTAGGCCTTATGTGTTTTGTCAGCCCATGCAGACAAGCATTCTTGGCGAGCTTCACAGCGGACTCATTGTCACAAAACACAACTGTCGGCTTCTCCTGACCAACTCCCAACTCCTCCAACAAACGCCTTAGCCACACTACTTCCTTGGCCCCATGGTGTAAGGCCATGTACTCAGTCTCACATGAGGACAATCCCACCTCATTCTGCTTCTTGCTGCGCCAGCTCACAGCACCACCTCCTAGCAAGCACACATAACCCCCAATGCTGGTGCCATCCGCTTTCACTGAGTTGAAGCTAGCGTCAGTATAGCAACTCAAGAGCATCTCTCCACTCTTCACATCTGCAGCACCTCTCTGCAACCGCTGCCTCACTCCACTGTACTCCAATCCCACTGATGCCGTAGCGCTCACATAGCGGACCAACCTCTTGGCCGCTTCCAGCTGCTCATGACTAGGGCGTGAGACCACACTAGCCAATCGTGATGTAGCAAATGCAATGTCAGGCCGTGTATGATTTGCAGCATAATTCAGCGACCCAACCATCGAATGAAACAGCTTCCTGTCACTATCACCCACTACCTCCTCATCAGCACATGGCTCCACAGTAAACCCTGAAGGTAGTGGTGTTGCTGGCTTTCCCCCATCTTGCAGCCCATACTTCTCAGCCAGCCCCTCACAGTACTTCCTCTGGTGCAACCTCAGCACACCCTTTTCCACATCTCTCTCCACGTGCATCCCCAAGTAGTACTTCACCTCACCCATCTTGGAGCACTTGAACTGCATCTCCAGCATCTGCTCTGCGCTGTCCAGCAAAGCAGTTGATGCAGAAAAGAGAAGGATATCATCCACATACACCAAGAGCATGAGGATTTCATCCTTCTCCTGCAGCAGGAACAGGCTGGGGTCACACTCACTCTTCTTGAAACCCCCAGCCAACAGCGCCTCCTCCAACTTGTGATACCATGCACGAGGCGCCTGCTTAAGGCCATAGATGGCCTTCTTCAGCCTGCAGACCCTGCCGCTCCCGTCATCCAGCCCCTCTGGCTGCTTCATGTACACCTCCTCCATAATGATCCCATTCAGAAAAGCAGTCACAATGTCCATCTGCCGTATCTTCCATCCCAGGAGTGCAGCTATCGCTAACAGCACCCTCAGTGTTGTTCCTTTCCCCACAGGAGCAAACACCTCATCATAGTCCTTCCCTTTTGTCTGCTGAAACCCCCTTGCCACAAGCCTGGACTTGTAGCGGGTCAGCTCCCCTTCAGGTCCATACTTGTGCCTGTAGATCATCTTGGAAGTGATTGCCTTCTTTCCAGGAGGCAAGTCACACAGGTCCCATGTCTCGTTCTCAATTAGGGACCCGAACTCCTCATCCTCACTCGCCTTCCACTTCTCCCCATTTGGTCCATTCAAAGCCTCCTCTCGAGTCTTGGGCTCAGGGATTGGTGCCCAGTAGCAGTGAGCGATCTCATCTTCCTCAATCTGCTCAACCACACTCCCAGCCTGCACCACATTTGGCTTGCCTCTTCCCCCATAGGTCAGCCTCACTGGAGGGCGCACATCCCTCCTAGGACGCTCAGGCGGGTGTGGAACTCGAGGTGGAGACTCATGCTGCTGCTGCTGCTGCTCTACTTCAGCTGCTCCCCCTTCCTCAGTCACCCCAGACATCTCCTCCTCTGACACTGCAACCTCCACCTGTCTTGAAGGGTGCTGCACCTCATCTGCCTCCACAATGAGCGGTGTAGATGGAAGCTTCTGTTGCTGCTGCTTCCATTCCTTGTAGTACAGGGACTCAAGAAACTTCACATCCCTTGACACTGTCAACTTCTGGGTGGTCAAGTCCCATAGCAGCCACCCCTTGTGATCCTTTGCAATCCCCAAGTGCACACCCCATCTTCCAGAAGCCTCCAACTTCCCCCTTTTCTCCTTAGGCACATGAAACACCACCATGCACCCAAATGCCCTCAGCATGTTCACAGCTGGAGCACTCCCATACCACTTGACATATGGGATCCACTCCTTATCTCCAACTGTAGCCAGCACCCTGTTCTTCACAAGGGCGACCTGCCTCAGTGCAGACACCCAAAACGGATCAGGCAGCCCTGCACGCCCAAGGAGAGTGCGTGCCCCCTCCTGCAGGGTCCTGTTGAACCTCTCAGCCACGCCATTCTGCTGCGGGTTGTAGGGCACTGTCAGTTGATGCTGGATCCCCTTCCTCTTCAACTCCCCCTCAAAATCAGCTCCAATGAACTCCCCACCATTGTCACTGCGGATCACCTTCACCTTGTATCCGCATTCCCTCTGAGCTCTAGGCATCCACTCCTTAAGGACAGCCGCTGCCACCTCCCCCTTGCTCTTCAAAGGGTAAACCCACACTGCCCGAGTGTGGTCATCCACAATTGTCAAGAAATAGCGGCTGCCTGAGAGGGAAGGCGCTCTTGTGGGCCCCACCACATCCATGTGCACAAGTGCAAGTGGGGTCTTGGCTGGTCCTGTAGTGCTGTTGAAGGGGAACTTGGAGAACTTGGTCTCCAAGCATGTAGGGCAGCTCCCAATCTCCTTCACTTCCCCTTTCACCTCCAAGCCCTTCAGGCTCCCATTCTTCACCAACTTCTGCAGCATAGGGAAGTTCACATGACACAGCCTCTCATGCCATGTCTCCCAATCGGCCTCTCCACTCCTTGATGAAGCCTTAGCCCATGCCGCACTCGCATCCACACCAGCAAGCACCTCGCCATGTGTCTGCTGCTGCTGCACTTTCTTGACTGCTTCCAGGACCCCATCAGTTGGTGCAGTTGCATCTCTTCCTGCTGTTGCCTTTGCCGCTGCTGCCGTTGCTGCTGTTGGAGTCTTCCCATTCCATGGGATGATGGGCAGCTGCCACAGGTCCTTGATGCAGCTGGTCTCCTCTTCCAGACTCCACAGCACCTTCTTCCCAAGCTTAGCACGGCAGCTGGTTGGTCCAAAGGTCACTTCGGCCTTGCTCTTCTGCAGTCGTCGCACAGAGAGAAGGTTAGCAGACAAGCCTTCAACCAGCAGAACATTCCCAAGCCCCACAAGCTCCCCATTAGCTCCCTTAACCTTGGCATTCCCAACACCAATCACAGGGAGCAAAGCACCTGACGCTGCTGCCACATACTTGATCTTCCCAGGGGGTTTTACCTCATCAAGCAAATCTGCCCGTGGGGTCATGTGACTGGTGCACCCTGAATCAATCACCCAGTGTGTGAGAGGGTGCATCACAACCTTTCCCACTGATCCCACATCACCCTCATGCCCATGCACATCCTCAACCATAAGATACATCCCAGGATAGGCGTTACCTTGTGCACCTTCACCTTGTGCACCTGAGCCTTGCACAGCGCCACCTTGTGCGCGTTCACCACTTGGCGGCTTCATGCCTGGAGGTGACCATCCCTCCGGCCTGCTGAAGCACTTGAACCAAGGATGCCCGACCTTCTTGCAGTACCAGCAGGTGCCCTCCATTCTGGTACTCCCCCTGCCACTGGAGCTCCCATGCCCCTCATTATAGTCACCTCGGCCTCTACCTCTGCCAAAGCTTCTCCCACGGCCTCGGCCTCTCCAACCCCCTCTTCCTCTGCCGCGCCCTGCAGCTCCATACCCCTCAGCAGTCTTAGTGGCAGCACCGCCTCCCACATGGCGTCTGCGGAAGTCCTCCTGCAGAATCTGCTGCCTTAGCCACTCAGGTGTCCATTGATCTTGCTGAGAGTTGAGGGTGGGGATGAGGTTGTCCCAAGAGTTGTCCAACACCGAGATGATCTTGGTGCACTGCTGCAGCTGAGATACACTGCTGCCCGCTGCTGCCATCCTTGCATAGGTGTCCTTGATCTTGTCAAGGACTGGCTTCACATCGTCCCCTGGTCGCATGGAGATGGCAGCAAGTTCCTTCTCGAGCACGATCACCATCGGGAGAGTGTTGGGCTGAATCACATCGCGTAGTAGTTTCCACGCCCTTGGACCCGAATCATCCGCTTCCACAAGATCCTTGATGTGCTCGAACATCTCCTTGTTGACCGATTGAAGGATGAGGTCGAAAAGCACCGCGCTTTTCTCAATCCACCGTTCACGTGCTTCGCCTTCTTCCGGCATCTTCTCTTCCCCAACAGCAATCTTCAGTAGCTTGTAGCGTTTGAAGGCACTCCTCATCCGTCCGCTCCATTCCTTATAGTTGGAGCCATCCAAAGCTTCAACTTTTGATGGCGGCGGCTCACTTGTCTTCTCAGCTACAGCTCCTCTTCCATTAGCATCTCCTCCTCTCTCATTCATCTTCTCCTTGAGAAATGACGAGTTTCAGCTCCCCTTTGCTGTCCACACTCAGCTCCCTCGATATTTTCACAAGTGTCGGCGTCCACGAAATTTCGGCAGAGTTTCCCCTTAGCGGAAGACACATCCAACCTTTAGAACACCACTTAGGCACACCCACAGGCCATGGTGGGTCTAGAAGGGTCTTCACACTTCTGTAGACTCCTCTCAATGTCCTTAATATTGCTCTGATACCACTTGTTAGGATTAAGGACGGAGTCTAGGTGAACTTAGGAGCTAGAATTACTCAAAATATAAATCCGAAATTCTGGACAGAAAAGTCGTCTTCACAAGAAACGACGTCGACAAACAACTAGCCGTTGGAATGTCGCGAAACTTGGATATGTTGTAGCTCTTAATCTCAGCTACCGTTCCCAATTTGAATCATGTTGATTGATAAAGTATTCGCGACGCTATGGCTTTCGACGCACTAGGGGGTAAGCTGTAGGAGGAGAACTTAACTCAATCTCAAAGGTTCAATCAAAGTTCAAGAATCTCACAAGGAATTAGAAGGAGCAAGAGAAAGGTTGGGATAGGAAGAGAGGGATGAGAGGGAAGGTCCCAAGAGAGTCCCCAACCAAGGAAACCCCATAAGCACAAAGATTCCCTCCCTATAGGAACCCCAACTTTGACATTTGTCCCTTCCCAACCAATCCATCCAAGTTGGCCACCCTTGCCAACCTAGCTTGGTTGTTCCCAACCAATTTGCAGCTGTTACAGTGAGTGACAAATTTCCCAAACCCCCAAAGGTCCCAACTCCATATAGAGTCACCCCACAACTTCACTTTGTAACCGCCGCAATTGTAACGCAAGCTCATGAACTTTGAATCTTCATAGCTTTCGCGTTCTTGCTCCGATTGAAGGGATTCTCGTTGCGTCGGAAAGATCTTCTCAAGATCTATCATCACAAAAAACCTGCTCAAACAAAATAACACAAAACACATTCCCAAACTCCAGAACACATCACACACAAATTCTTGCACACGTTCAAACCACACATGCAAGTTGAAAAAATATGGGATGGGAGGCAGACAGAATGTGATAGCATATGATGACATCACACAACAAGCCTGAGCGAACGAAGAGTGACGGGTTGACTGAGGGCGGAAAGAACTGCATGTCTATTAGTGTAGCACGCAGCGTGTCATGCCACTCTCGAGGTGCCTGCCACATACCGTATACCGGGCGCCTGAGGAACCACTCGGTCACAGACGGGAAAGTGTCAGAGAATCCCGGCGGGCGGCGCAGGTAGATCTGCTCGTGCAGATTGCACTGGAGGAACGCTGTGGAGAAGTCAAGTGAGTGAAGCTCGTAGTCGCGCTATGCTGCTATGTGAAGCAATGCCCGAAGAGTGGTCATCTTTTGAGTCGGGGTGAAGGTCTGAAAGAAGTCAACACCCTCGTGATGATTGAAGCCTCAAGCAACCTAGCGCGCCTTGAACACCGGCGGCTCTCCAGGAGGGTGCTTCACCTTGAAGAGCCACCGGCCATCGAAAACGTTCGCCCAAGATAGGAGAGTTGCGTTGACGTACGTGACGGTGGATCTCCAAGATGCCATCTCCGCGTCCATGTCAATTATCCACTGAGAGGACCAGGGTTCCGAGGTCGCCTCAGCGTAGGTGCGAGGGGTTGGGATGTCAAGAGCATCAGGGTCACCCTCAGGAGCTACCAGCATGGAGTAGAGATGAGGAGCAGCCTCGGACAGGAAAGCTAGCTCGTACTGTCTTTCCTCTAATGCCAAGGGCAGGTGCACCATCGACGGATGGAGGACGGGGTGGGTCGGAGACCAGAGCAATGGCGTAGTCAAGACAATGGGTAGAGGCAAAGTCAGCGGCAGCAGCAACAAGAGCATCGAGACTGAAGACAGGAACGGACGGGTCGACAACTAGAGAGGCGAGGACACGAGGAACAAGAGGACGAATAGCACGGAGGAATTCAGAGAAAGAACACAAAGAGACGGTGAGAGACGACTGAGGAGGCGACGGGAGAAGAGGAGCGCGAGGTGCACAAGACGCGTGAGAACGGAGCAACATAGGGTGAGAACGCTGAACATGAGAGACAGGGAGAGCACGAGAGGGACGACGAGACCAGAAATGGGAAAGAGGTGTCAGGTCCAGAGGCACAGGAGGAGACACAGGGGGAGAACGAAAGGGGAAACGAACTAGGGACGAGTCCGGCGGAGGGAACACAGGGCCGTAGACAAGAGGAGGAGTCGGCACTGGTGGAGGCATGGGCAGTTGGTCGGGAGATGGGGTGCACCGGCATGGATCATGGAGGTACGAGCCACCTCCATGACCAAACTGATGCGTCGCTCAGCGACCCTATTCTGCTGTGGGGAGTCCAAGGTGTACGTTCGAGTAATGCCCTCCGCACGACAGAAATGGCCAAGCCGAGCGGAGGCGAACTCGCTGCCACGGTCGGAATGGAGACGCAGCATGGGCTCGGTGCGGTGTACTTACGCAGCGACAAGCCACGGGATAAGAACATTAGGCACGTCGGCCTTCCGCTCTAGGGAAAACACCGTGGTGTAGCCCGAGTAGTCGTCGACGAGAACCAAGAAGTAGCGCTCGCGATGCGCCCAAGGATGGGGGCGGGGCCCCAGACGTCCAGGTGCAGGGTTTGGAGTGGCGCAGTGGTGGGGAAAAACGAGGAGGAGTGAGGAGCACGGCCTAGCCGGCCCTCGACGCAAGGTGTGCACGGAGGCGCGGGCGAGGGAGGGAGGGCAGGGATCGACGTACGAAGACCTAAGACGAGACCGTGCTGGGACATGTGATGCAGACGCGAGAGTGCGGGGTGACCTAGGCGGTGGTGCCACAGTAGCGATGGGTGAGTGAGCGATCGACACGAGCAAGCCGCAGTGACCTTGGTAGACGCAACCACAAGGGGGGACGCCCCCACCGGGGGGGACGCGGTGCCCAGCATGAACAGGCCAGACACCGGGTCCCGGGGTAACGTGGTGAGGGGGGCACCAGTGACGGCCTCGGTACAGACTGCGTACGGCTCATGTCCAGGAAACGTAGTGGTGACGCCGAGGTCCTGAATACAGCTGGCACTAACTAGGTTCTTGGAGAACAAGGAGATGCGCAGACCCATAAGAGACCCCGAGGGAACCGCCGGATAGGGAAGGGTGGTGGAACTACGTGCGATTATCAGACCTGAGGAAGGGTCAGCAGAGGCGATGGCTGTGGGGGTGGCAAGCGGCATGAGTATGGTGTGGTCGCGAAAGAAGCATGCATACGCACCAGAGTTCAGCGTGAAGGAGAACGCGGCAGTAGCGTCAACCGGCGGAGGCACTAGCGTGGAGCCAAGGCTAAACAAGGCAAGAGGTCCTACACCTGACGTAGCAGGGGAGCCGAGAATAAACACAGCGGACACACCTACGCTAGGCAACACAGGGTAATAATGTCCAGTCACACTAGAGTCATCAGCATACATGACATACAAAGCAGAGCTAATCTGATCCATTTCCATCTCGAAGACCGGCACACGACGACGTACCAGACTGGCCAATCCCGGAGGTCCAGCGCGGGGTCGAAGCCGAGACGAAAGAGGTCCTCGAGACGACGGTAGCAGCGGGCGTCGGTGTGACCAATATGGCCATCTACGGTGCCATAAAAGGGACCAGACTAGAGCGGAAACTATCAACTCACAGAGCTGGAGCCGCCACCCGACGTCGAGCTGCAAGGGCCGCCACCGCGGCCAACACCACCAAAGCCGCCGAGCCACCACGGCGGCGGGGGTCCCCACGGCTGCCGCTGCTGCTGCTCCTCCTCCTCCTCTAAGTGCTTCTGCTACTGCCCTGGGGCGTCATCCCCCTCTCCATCATCTGCACCGCCTGCGCTCGCACCACCTATGCCGCCCCAGCCACCCCCATCACCCCCGCCACCCCGCCACCCCCGCCACCCCTCCCTCCCCCCCGTCCTCCTCTGGGGCTGGGGCCCTTACCCTAATGAGGCTGCACTGAGGCCGCTGCGACGACTTCAACAGCCTGGACTGTCTAGCGACAAAAACGTCAGAGTAAGTGCTCTTGGAGGGAGCACAGCCCTGGAAGATAGGGACTGCCGCAGTACCACTAGACTGAGCGATAGTGCGATGGCGAGACTCTATCGCGAATAGGTCGGTAAGGGTGAGGACAGCGGGGTGAAGACTAAGGAAGGCTTCGCGGACAGTTGCTAGACAGTCAAGAAGGCGCATGGATAGGAAGTAATGGGTAGCGCCGAGGGGGGGAGTCAGTACAATGAGCTGGGCCTGAGTGCTAGCAGCACGGTAGCTACAGTGACGAAACAAAGTGTCCGCATGTTGGCCAGTTTTGTAAGTAAAATGTATATAACATGAATATTAGGAGTGTAGAGTTATCATGGCCATTTGAGCTTGGTAGACAAATGGCCTAGCACATCTTTGCTACAGCCACTTGCCCATTTAAGACTAGTAAAATAGAAGTTGTGAATGCAGAATTATACAGGGTACATTCGGACAGTTTGTTCCCAAATCAAACAAGGCATTGCAGTGTCCTGAATTAGTAACGAGTCCATCTCCCCTTTGCCCTAACAACAGCCTTAATCCTCCTGGGCATGCTATCTATCAGTCCCCTACAAACATCAGCGGAGATCCCCTCCCAAGTCTCCTGCACACGCTCCCAAGTCTGCAGCATGCCTGTGGGGGGGCGTTCATACTTTGCAAGCTCACGTTTGAGGTGAGCCCAAAAGTGTTCAATGGGATTAAGGTCAGGGGAGGAGGAAGGCCACTGCAGGACTGCGTATGGCTGCTCAGAGAGAAACTCCTGCACAAGTTTACTCTTGTGCTTTGGATCATTATCATGCTGGAAAATCACATCAGATGCAGTCAGAGAGTAATAATCGATCGTTTGAGAGAGCTCGTCCTGCAGGATCGAGCGGTACAGCTGCCCATCCATGCGCCCCTCAATTTTACACATGAACCCGGCTCCATCATAGGACATACAGCCCCATACCATTACGGATCCGCCCCCATGCTTCACATACTGTTTTACCTGATGCCCTTGAAGGGCCGTGCCATCGCGGATCCATGCATAGGTGCGGCCATCACTGCAGAAGCGGTTGATTTTGGTCTCGTCAGACCACTTTACCCGCTTCCAGTCTTCGATCGTCCAATCCAGGTGGGCACGTGCAAATTCCAATCTGTCCCGAATGTTTCGCACAGAGAGTCGCGGTTTCTTCGGTTGCTGTACAACAACGAGGCCGGACTGCTTCA